AGTACAAGCGGGACAGTTTTTCATGTGTTTTTTTGTCCAAATTCATTGAATTAAAGATAATTTCTTAATTTTCTATCGTGGCAAATATAATATACTGATTCATTGACAGTTGTCTGTGGATACTTATCATAGGTATGAACCAAGTTTTGCCAAACTATCGTATGTTACGAAAATCAAATTGTATTGAGGGCGTTCTTATACCCTGAACAGGTTGGGTAATGTTGCAGCGAATTTTGTAACAATCAAAAGTAGCCGTCGAAGACCAATGTATATATTTATTGGGCAATTCACAAGCTTCGTCTTATGTCGTATTTCAATTGTCTTAAACACTTGTGAGCACCCCTTAATTGTTGTATGTCATATTCTGTAATATTTCTTCACTTCGCCAGCTGGTAGTGAAAAATTAAGAATACAAAAATGCCATAAGAAAGTGACAAAAATAAAATTAAAGCTTCTTTATATTGAACCGCCGTCATTTTGGTTTACATTGCAACCACAATATTTCACTTTTCTTTAACTTAATTTATCTGATTATTTATTATTATTAAAAAAATTGATGAAATTTATTTATTATATCAATGTGGTGTCTAAACCTAAAAGACAACAATAAAAAAATTAAACAGATATAGCTGACAGAATAGCACACTCAAAAAAATACCTCACCGTGTTGTATTTGTCGTATTTCAATTTTGTATGGGAAACAACAACAGTGTTGATAAATAAAAAGACATTTGAAGTTCAAGCGACAAATGTCACCAATCATTGAGTAATGGATAGCTCAACTGGCAGTAACTTCGGCTACACAGTCTTACCGGAGACTCAACTCTGTGGTTTAAACCTAAATTCTGGAAGAACTGCGAATTCAGCTTGGAACTGTTCTAAACTGTTTGGTTCCGGACTGAATTTTCAGTTCAAAAAAGAATTTGCAACTGGGTTCCGTACCCGAAAATGGAAGAGGTTTCAGGTCAGCCTCGAATCCTAAAAAGACGGTCAGTGTGCCCATACACACTGGCCGCTGGTAACAATAAATAATTGTATTGTTTGGAGCGCTGATCAACGCATTGTTTTGATACGCTGTGCTTTTGAACACCGTGAGGTTAGGCCATCGCCGGCAGGTACTCACGTAAATCACTACGCAAGTTGTCCATATGTCTGTACATACGCGAACTAGTCCGACAGTTTTTTAGAAATCGATCTGAAATTTTGCTCACGTTCTTCTCTCCAAGAACCTGCTCATTTGTCGAAACTGCTGATATCGCACCACTATAGCATATACATACATAACTGCCATACAAACCGAACGAACAAAATCAAGTTCTTTTAGAAAAAAGCTTTTTATTGTCTCAGCGTCAACGTAATCGCATATCTGAAGAAATTTTCCAGATGGGAATACTAATACTCACATACGATAAGTTCGCGTGCAAGGTTTGAGGATGTGATGATCAACTTTGGCACTTAAAATGAGAATTAAAAGTTAATTTTCAGCTGTTTCTTTCATTTCTTTTTATTAAATTTAGTAGTGACAATCTTAAATTTAAGACTTATCCTTCATCGGATTCATTAAAACATCTTTATACCTATGTATTGAATTTTTTTAAATTAACGTATTCCATATGATATTTATTCGGGATACTTTTTTAATTCAAGGAATTTTTTAGGTCAAGGCATTTTATATAGTTAATATTGGCGCACTTTAATTATAGTTAAAATCATTTGTGATTTGAATGTTAGAGCTAACAAAATATCCAGATTTAAAAAAATAATAAAATTGTTTTTTCAAGTGTAGCCATTCGAAGCTTGCTTAATTTCCATTTTTTTTTTTTTAGGAATTGACTAATCTCAAGATTTCAATTACAAAAATCTTTACGATTCATTTCCACACAATAGCATTCTGATGTACTAATGCGGGCGTTGCGTATAAGTGTGGGCTATTAGAGCCCAAATGGTTTGTTTTTATTACGTACCTAATTTACGGACATCATGGTGTACCCGGACGTAAAAAAACAAATTTAAATTTTTTTAAAAAGCTTTATTATGATTGGACCAGCGCAACTCTTGAAATTTAAGTTTATTTCGGAATAATAAATTTATAGAGGATCGAAGATATTTCATTACATTTCCGTTTACCGTCTTGCTCAACCTATAAAACACAGTAGCCATTTCTAGTACCATTCTCAAACAAGCACACGGTGCAATTACTGTATGCAAATTTTCGAGAGTAAAAAAGGGTAATATTTTTACCTAAAACAAGTACTTAAAACTTTCTGCAAATCAAAACTATCACATAGAATATTTTATTTCATTTTATCTCCCATCTGATTATATATGGAAAGAGATTTGCTCTCTTATTTATCGGAAATATATATCATTGACATGATTCTTATTCTTTCACATCATATGTAAACTTTTTGTTTAGTTTGGAAATATTTCATCACAGTAAGTGTCGAACGCCTTGAGCTCGCGAGCTTTTCTGCTTTCACATATACACAACACTTCATTGAGCTGTCGTTGATGTGGACCTCAATACCTATGGACAGGGTTGCAAATAATGCAGTTAAATAATTATTGAATAAACATTTTAATTACATTTTTTTCATGTTTTGTAATCCAAAATACGGGATTAAGTAATAATCAAGTAGTTCCTGAGGTATTGGATTTCAACTAAAAGACGGCGGTTCCACGCTCATTGGCAAATGTTTACCCATAAAGCTTTTCCCTGCCATCTTGGTTGTGAAATTAAATGCTTAAATTCTTTTATTAAGTGAGTTATCGCATTTTTAGTAATTTTCAGAATAACCGGTATATTGGGAACGGGCGTTATTATAATTTGATTTTTACCCATTTTCACAGTGTATAAAGAAATGCTGAAAAGACGTCTTCTCAGCAAGTTTGGTTGAGTTAGCTGTAGTAAGTTGGAAGATAAGTGCATTTAACCATTTAGAGGGCGAGGCTACGCTCACTTAAAAAAATGTTTAGCCCATAAGTGCCTCTCACTACTGCGATCCCCTATACCAAATCACTGTTTTGTATCTTAACCTTAGTTTAGTTCAATGGCATTTTGTGGGCGTGGCCAATTACGCTTATCTGCACCACTAACTCTCCCTGGGTGCCAAGGAACATATGTACCAAGTTTCATCAAGATATCTCAATTTTTACTCAAGTTATCGCATGCACGAACAGACGAACGGACAGATAGTCACCCGGAATTCAACTCGTCTCGTCTACCTGATAATTTGCGTATACATATACTTGCATAACCCTATATCTAACTCAATTATTTTTAGGTGATACAAACAACCGTTAGGTGAACAAAACTATTATAGGTACTCTGTGCAACAAGTTGCGAGAGTATACAAATTTTTAATGTCACATACCGGATTAAAAAATAGAAAAAAAATTTTAATCCCACATACCGGATTAAAACTTAAAAATAAATTTATTCTCTACTACCGGATTGAAAAATATAAAAAGAAAATTTGAATCTCAAGTATATAATTAAGAATTAAAACAAGAACTTGTTTTAGAATTAACATTTTTTCGTGTTCATTCAAATCAAAAAACAACATTTTTAACTCCAACATCGGGATTAAAAAACTAAAATCTTATCTAATGATTGAATGATTTAATTTGTAACCAAAAATTTGGAATTAAAAAATTCGCAATCCTGCCTTTGGATGACGTTTTGCGGAAAATATCGGTCAATCTTTGAGGTACCTTCGTGAAAGTCAGAGAACACCTTTTTCTGGAAATAATATACCGAGTTCCACAAATGGATAACATCAGTTCAATACTTTCCCTAGCCCCCATATACCTAACAGAAAGGTTCTCAAACTTCCGGTCGGATTTACACCGTACACGAGGTGTGTTCAAAAAAATTGGTGAATTGGGCTTTTTTGCGGTTTCGATATTTTGTTATAATCGTACACATATGTTTGTCATGTGCTTGTATTAGGAGCCAATTTCGATTAGTAGTTTGTTTTTGACAACAGAAAAGGTTATGCACGTTTTTGTGTGCTCTTCGATTTTTGACTTTTGAAAGAAATGGATGAAAGAATATGTATTAAATTCTGCGTTAAAAATGGAATAAAGTGCTCAAAGGCACTTGAAATGATGACTGTGAAATTCGGTGAGTCCGCTTTGTCTCAAAAAAGTGTTTATAAGTGGTAAAAGATGTTGATGAACATCCTGGAGACCTCGTCAACAAACGAAGAAAACATGGAACCAGTGAAAAAAAGTATTCTTGAAAATCATCGAATCACTAATAGGGAAGTTGCAGAGGATATTGGCATATCAATCGGCTCATGCCATTCAATTTTCTCGAATATTTTGGGCATGAAACGTGTGAAGAAACCAATGAAAGGAAAGCGCTTTGCCACAATTGATGAGATCAAGTCAGAATCGAAGAAAGAGCTGATGGCCATACCGAAAAGCGCATTTCCGAAGGGCTTTGAGGATTGGAAAAAGCGTTGACACAAATGTATTATATCCGAGTTGGTTGCTTTGAAGGGGACAAAATAGATATTGATAAATAAATAAGTACTTTTCAAAAACATTCTAAATTTACCTTTTCCTTTGAACACACCTCGTCTTGTATGTAAGATATCTTAAAGAAATTAAGATAGCGTTTTGCTCTAATAACAATTTGCCCTTGTGTATATTTTTCCAAACAGTTCGGAAAATATTATACACTATGTATCGAGATAAATATAGTTTATGCAAAAGATCATGTTGAAACTATCTTTGGTATAATGGTCCACCCGGTTGTTTCACAAAGCATAAATTACCGCTATGACCTAACTAATAGCTCTATTATGTTCATTCAGTTAAATTGTTGCATTTAAATTTTTTGATAAATGATCTTTAGTCACTATATTGTGTTTTTTCTATATCTGTAATTGACAGCCTGTCCATTAGCAACGCCCCCAATCAAGGTCAAGCGTGCTTGCAAAAAATTATAATTTTGGCAGTTAAGTTACCTTTACATACATATATGTACTTACGTATATACCACTGTTGTATACCTTTCACCTTTTGTAGATACTTCGCCAAATATCCAATAGTCAAATTGACGGTAAATAGCTACTATTAGCTGAAAAGGTTAAATTTTTTGGTTGTCCATCGATTTTTCAACAGGCATATAAGTACGCTTTATTCGGTAATGAAGTTAACTGAAAAAGCGAATTAAGTATGATAGTATATTAAGTATGCAAGTTCTTTTCAGAAAGTGTTTAGTATTATACCAAAGTACTCAATAATTAATAATCAAATATTGCATAAAATGAGGAAAATATTTACAGAGCTTCCAACGTACGGACACATTTTTCCATAATTTAATGTTTTGCCTCAATAAAGAAAGCTAGACTCATAGAGTTTTATTTGTTTGAGAAAGAATATCGAAGAATCTAAAAGTAAAACAATCATTATCTCTAAAGAGTTGGAAGAAATAAGTCCAAAATATACAATAATTAAAATAAGAAATAATAGGAATAAATCGATTTCTCTAATTTAGAGATTCTGGAATAAACAAAATTAATTAATTTAATAGAAGTATACATAATAAACAGTCATATCCTCAATCTAGCTTTAATTTATTATGTCATTATTTAACATTTATACTGTTAAAGTTTTGGCAAAGATACGACAGCTCGTATGCAGTTCTCTATAAGAATAGATTCGCTAACACTTTAATTTCTTTTAATACTTTGTTGAGTTTAATTATTTTATGAACTATCCAATTTGTCTTAAGGATATAAATATAATTATGTAGTCATATATTAAACACTTCTTCAAACAACGATCATATTAAAGAAAATAGTATAGGACTTTAACAAAAACTTTAATTGCTTATTCCTAATTTGCTTGGTTATTTTTCTTGAAAATCTATATACAAAGTATATTTCTTTAACCCGCATCACATGAGTTAAACATTCTTTAACATCCACTGCCATTGGTTTCATAAAAAACGTAGTCTAAACCAATCGCATAAACTAGCAAAATCTCAAACATTTTTGCATCCGGACACACTCACGAAAGAAATCCAAAAACGGGAAGTGAGCTACAACTCCAACTGCTGCGTTTTGATATCTTGCGATGACTAACCAAATATTTTTCGTATATATTACGCAAAATACATACAAACACACACATGTATGTATATGTCGATAATCCATTCCACAAAATTTTAAATGCCAAAAATACTTTTCGAAAAATATCCAAACGAAGGAATCATTCACAATTTTGTCTGTTGTGATGTTAATTGATAGGGGACTCAACAAATGTTTATTTGCAAAAAAGCGCGTCCTAATGTTTTTATTTTGGCAGTCTTTTCTACAATTTTTTAAAACAAAAACAAATACAGAGGTACAATTTTCTTGTAGTCATGATTTTTACATTTGTCTAATCTGCATAAGATCGTATAATTGCTCGTGTATCGGCGGCACTAAAGCAAACAATCACAACGCTTAATAACTTAATTCCAATTAAAGACAATGTTTAACAGCGGCACTAACAACAACAACACAATCATTACTGCAAAAACAAAAGCGATTCAACTGCAAACACTTGTTTCAAAGTGAACTTGGGTTATGGAAATAAGCGCCGAAAGCAAAGAAAAGAATAATCACGGTAGAAAACAGTAAGAAGAAATACTCTTCAGCACACTACTGAGTGTAGGTATTTAAATATATGAGGATTTTCGAGCCAAAAATAAATGATTTTATGTCTCTGAAAGCAAAACAGGAAATAGAAAGGCAACGCACGACTTGTTGCAAAAAGTGCACTGCTGTAGAATAGTAACAAAAACAACTGCAGAAAAGTAACAAGAAATATAACCGATAATTAGGAAATCTATTGGCATTTCAAAATCACAAAAAATCAACCAAAATGCAAAAAGAGTATGTTCAAAGCAAAATTTTGTACTTCATATTTGTGAGGAACTCTTTCCCCCTACAGATCTGTGGATGGTTTCAGGCAGGAGTATATTTAACAATTGAAGAGTCAATAAGCCGTAATTTAAATTTTTCTTAGCGAGGATTGTGAGACAAAAAACAGAAAATGACTCCTCATACCACTGGCTTTTCTTTCGAGATCCCTGGAATCCAACATTTTTACAGCCACGGTACAACCTAAGCTCTATATAATATAACAAGTAAGGAAGTTCTAAGTTCGGGTGTAACCGAACATTTTATACTCTCGCAACTTGCAAGGCTCAAAGCCGGGAAATTACTTCAGGTGTTGGCAAAATTTTATATTAAAGGAAGTATTGATCCGATTCAACCCATTTTTGACGCAAAACATACTATTATCGAGAGTTTCATTTCTTTATTTTATTATATGAAATATATATCCTCCATTGACCGATATTTTCGGTAAAAAGTTAACTATAGGCACTGAGATCCACATATTCAGTACCGAGGAGTTGAACAATTTTGGTTCGATTTAGACAATTTTTAGTCACAAGGTAGCACACTTTAAACGCATTTTTCACGCAAAGTTTTACCCCGAAACAATCATTGTTGCTTGATTTGCATAGAGATAGTGAAAGAATCAGGTAGAATTTAAAATGGTGTTATATGGAAAATAGGCGTGGTTGTAATCCGATTTCGCCCATTTTCGCACTTTAAAAGAGAAATATGAGAAGAATGTTATGTACCGAATTTAGTTGAAATTGGTTAAGCAGATCCCAAGATATGGGTTTTCACCTAAAAGTGGGAGGTGCCATGCCCACTGTCTAATTTTGAAGTCGGTTCCTATAAACTCATGTCATACCATCCCAGAGATAAAATTTAATATCTCTGGCGTGTTTAGTGCTTGATTTATCGCGCTTTTAGTAGTAAACGCGCACCTGAAGTAATTTTCCGGGCTTTGATTAACAAGTTACGAGAGTATAAAATGTTCAGTTACACCCGACCTTAGAACTTTCTTACTTGTTAATTTCTATATTTATTCATCATTAATGATGAAATATCATTTCAAGCGTGTATCTAAGTTACCTCAGTGAAGAATATCTTCGGATTTTTGGCATTCTACTTAAACCGAGCGCCACATATCGGTCATGGTCTGACGCATCGTCTACATTAATTATTGGGTGAAATTATGCATACAAATAAATATAATATATTATTCAATTATATGCATGCATTCTAACAGAAAGACAATTACCAATTAGCTTCGACTTATAAGGGCAACGGAATTAAAGTGCTATACATACCCAATGGCTGTCAGCAACTTTTCATCTTCGGCCTTTTCTAACTAGACATTCACCAATACGAGGGTTGTCTTTTATATCTCGGGATTAGAGAATAAATATTAGTCATCGAAAACCGCTTTATTGTTTTTTGAAATTTTGTCCATTAAGAACAGTCCACTCTGATTGAGGTATCTCCAAAACATGCGTTCTAAACGCATCAACCGCCTCTTCGAAAAACTTTGATTTATTAATTTATATTTTACGTACGGGAATAAAATAAAGCCATTCGGTGGCAAGATAGGATTATACATTAAATGACTTATCAAATTGTTTTGAGTGCTCAAATGCAGTGGTTTCAGTCAATGAGTGAGAGCTCGCAGTGTCGTGGTGAAAAGTGATCCGTTTTCGGCGGTTGGTTTTCTTGATTTCCTGAAAGACAACTGGCAAAGAAATAGTTGTGTACCACTCATAACTTACTGTTCTTCTTTGTTTTAGAGGTATGGTAAGGACATGTCCGCGTAAATCCACTATTCATCACCCGTCACAATGTTATAGCACCGCTATTTTTTTTAACATTTCTCTCGACCAATCGACACGAGTCTCTTTTGAGCGATTGAAAATTGTGTGGGATCTAAAGTGAAAAAACTTTTTTACAGTCAAATGTTCATGCAATACTTAATGTACGCTGGTCCCACTGATACCTATAGTTGTATCAATCTCACTATTAGGTCATATAACGATCTTGCAATATCAGTTTGCGCACAGCATTATTCCGGAACAACAACTGATTTTGGACGACTTTCACGAAATTCGTTTTGGAGTAATCTACGGCCGCGATTGAATTCACCATACTATCGATAAACACTGGTCTTTGATCGAGCTTCATCGCTAAAAAATTTATTAAGTTCATCGATGCACTGTTGCTGAGTTAATCCCTGTCGAAAATGAAAAATATTCGCGATTTAATTCCATATTTTGGCCGAGATGAATACTTAAGTTACTGTAAACAACACAAAGCGCTCGTATTGAAAACGTTCTAAGAGTATGTATGATTTCAAAACTAGGGTTCCATCAATATTTTCGTACCTAGAGATCCATGCTAGCAATATTTGATTTCTTTTTTGATTTATTTCTCTTTAAGCTTTTTCTGAAGAGAGTATATAAAGTTTACCATGCACAGTGGTTTCGATTATATGGGAGCCGCGGCGATATATACTTTTATATGAGATATCGTTTTGAAATTTTCACCAAAAATCTATAAAATATGATAAATATTTTGTAAAATAATTGAGCACATCGGACGACTATATCCTATAGTTCCCATAGTAACAGTCAGTAACGGATCGACCCATTTCTAATTTTTTTATTTTAAGGGAAACTGGGCGTGATTTTACTAATAATAATACAATACCAAAGTAAAATACACACTTTCAATAATATTCGCATTGATTGGTGTTACTCAAAAATGTTGTGATGACATAAAAATAAACTAGGAGAAGCATTTATATATAGTATTATAATTAGAAAACGAACAACAAATTTAATAAATAATTTTCATATTGTCTCATTCAGTAATTCTATAGTTAGCTTTAGTAGCGTTGTTTTATGGTTATAAACAAGTTTTAGTTGCCAATTAATAAAAGGATCAGAGTTTAAAAGCAATTTGTTCATTAAATCTGTATTTGAAGCGACGCGTGTAATTTTCCGTGTATGTTGTAAGCGGAATGGAATGTTTTATAATTTCAGAACCACAAAGTAAAATTTTATCAACCAATGCAGGGAGATAAGACAAAGGATACTTTCACACTAGCTGCTTTGCGGTTTAAAGATCATAGTGCCCACATATTGCTGAATTAATCTTGTAACCCAAAGATATGGCATGCAACAAAGTTGAGGCTATGAGTATTCAGTCTTTATCAATTCTGTGAGCTGTACCGCCATCATTCGATATTCCACTTCTTCCAGTTTTAGCAAACAAATAATAATAAACAAGCATTTGATGCCAATTGTTCAGTTTGTATGGCAGCTATATGCTATAGTGATCCGATATCGGCCGTTCCGACAAATAAGCAGCTTCTTAGTGAGAAAAGGACAAGTGCAAAATTTCAGATCAATAGTTAAAAATGAAGGGACGCATATATACAGACGGACAGACGGACGGACGGACAGACGGACAGATGGACAGACAATCGTACAGGCATGGCTAAATCAACTCAGCTCATGATGCTGATCATATATGTATATATTTTATAGGGTCTCCGACGTTTCCTTCTGAGCGTTACAAACTTCGTGGCAAACTTAATATACCCTGTTCAAAGTATAAAAAGATGACGTTAGTGTATTGCAGATTATACGCATATAGCCAAATTTGGGCAGCTACGCTCAACTTTTTATTACCTTAAGACATGCACAAATACACTGAAAAAGAAATTAATTAAGGAATCGGGTAAACATATTAAGGACGCACATAAAATGCATAAAATACAGGGTAAACTAAAGTATCGATTTAAAAATAACTACAACACAAGTTAGTTTTTGTAAATTTTGTAACATAAAATAAATACCTTTAACTCCAAGATGATAAACGTAACAAATCGCCTGATCATTATAGTATATAGCTGCCATACAAACTGAACGATCGGAATCTAGTTCTTTAAGTAACCTTCTGTCTGTATTTGTGAAGGGTATTATGTCTTCGGTGCAACCGAAGTAAACGTCTTTTCTTGTTTTTGTTCAAAAAACTCTCGTAGAATTGAGTTCTTCTTTTATTCTTCCTTTAATTCTTCAAATGAAACAAATCTTTTCAAATTGCAATCATTGGATCGATGCAAGTTGCGAGAGTATAAAATGTTCGGTAACACCCGAACTTATTCCCATTTTTTACTAACATTTATTTAAAAAAGCACTAGAATGTGCATCGTTGTTTGTCTTGTAATATCGTAAAAATGTATATGGAAAAATCCCTCCCTACATTTATATAGATTAAAGCAATTAAGGCACAAAAAAGTTGCACATACGTAATACCCATTTTCGTAATAAATAATAAAAGGTAATCATTCTGGGCTACAAATTAAAAAAAAACTCGGCGTTTTTACTCCGCTTTGCGACATTTTATTGCTTTATTGCACAGCGCGTTTTAAAGTTAGAGTTTCCAGATGGCGTGTGTAAGGTGTTAGAACAAGATTCGCTCATATGGAAATTAAAAAACCACTGTTGTTAAGCGAGATCCCTTTTTGATGATAAAATATGTCGACACCAAGAGATAATTTGATTTAAAACGAGAATTTTAAATTTTTAGATTACAACTGAGAATATAACGAAACAAAGAAAATATATATAAGATATAGTTTTAATTTCTAGAATGTTTGTTTACAGCACTTTTTACCAAAAGTCAACAATTGATGACAGGAATAAAAGTGGTCGTCCTCACGGGGTGCGAACCAATTCAGTCGTAAAAACTGTTCGCGCACGCATTCGCAGAAATGCCCTTAGAAATCAGAAAATTATGTCAAGGGAATGGATATAGCGACCAGATCAATGTCTCACTGACTTATTCAAGATGATCTCCACAGAAAGCCTAACGTCTGTCAACTGGTCATCTTCTGACCACGCACTCAAAGTTAATTATGCTCAACAGACCCAAGCGGCTTCCTTTTACAAATGAAAAACGTTGCAATGTTGAGGAATTTTTTCATACGCTAAACGACAAAATCTACGCAAAACTTCCAAAGACGCAAAAAATTGTATACCAAGGGTTGAACGTGGTCACCATCCAGCTGCTGTATTAGTTTAGTGGGGAGTCTCCGGTAAAGGCGTTAAATATCTTCACTTCCGTGAATAAAGGGTTAAAACTGAGACGAAAATGTACTAGATGTTTATGAAGGCGTGGTAAAGGGGTTAAGCAATACTCTCTACGATGTAAAGCATTGGAACTTCCAGTAAGATTCTGCTCCAGCTTACAAGGCAAAAATCATCCAGCAGTGACTTAAAAGCAATATTCTTTGTATCATAGCTGCAGGTGATAGGTCGTCTGGAACTCCAGATTTGAATTCATTGGACTACAGTGTGTAGTCATGTGCGTTGATCAAATGAATAAACTCAATGAAGAATCCAGACTGTATTGAGCTGAGAATATTTTCATTCTAGTTTTGTTTTACTAAATTCATCGCTTATATATTATTTACAAATCTTACTTATCTAATTAAATGTATATGTATGAAATTATTTGATTTAGAAAGAATAAGATTCGTCTTATTTAGTTAGTAAGAATTTTCCAAATTGTTAAGATTATAATCAATTAATAACCAAGAAAACAAACTCTGTAACGAATTATAATAACTTAAGCACCTTGATGACAAAAAACGGTAATTATTATTTAATTACTAAAGCTTAAAAAAATGTGCAAACTGAAAGAGAAATCCTTAATCCTCAAAACTTCCTTAGCCCCAAATTTTAGAAATAATAACTTTGAAGTGCTAAGTCAAAAAAAACATATATATTTTTTTAACGATAATTGGCTTGAAATTGCTTGAATCTTCAATTTAGCAACTGATCAAGACAATATTTTCATTATTATATATGTTTAATAAAAGTTTTTTAAAATTCGATTATTTACCCAGATGATGAAAAAAGTTAAAGAGAAGAACAACAAAAAAACACGTTAACTTCGGTTGCACCGAAGCTATAATACCCTTCACAAATACAAAAGATTCCTTAGAAGAATTTGATTCCGATCGTTCAGCTTGTATGACAGCAATATGCTACAGTGATCCGATCTCAATAATTTCCTCGGAGATTCCATTATTACCTAAGATAATGATGGGGGGTTATAACCTCAGACGGTTTAAAACCGTAATCAATCTCCCGAGGAACAAATTTCGACTTCTGTCAGCTATATGTTATACTGATCCGATCTGAACAATTTCTTCGGAGATTTCATTATTGCCTCAGATAATGATCCCTTACAAATTTCGTGAAGATATCTCGTCCAATAAAAAAGATGTACATGCAAACAATTGATTTCGATCGTCAGTTTGTATGTCAGCTATATGTTATACTGATCCGATCTGAACAATTTCTTCGGAGATTTCAGTATTGCCTCAGATAATGATCCATTCCAAATTTCGTGAAGACATCTCGTCAAATGAAAAAAATGTCCATACAAGAACTGGATTCCGATCGTTCAGTTTGTATGGCAGCTATATTCTATAGTGGTCTGATATCGGGCATTCCGACAAATGAGCAGCTTTTTGGTGAGAAACGGTCATATGCTATATTTAAGATCGATATTTCAAAAACTGAGAGCCTAGTTCGCGTATATACAGACGGACGGACCGACAGACGGACATGCTAAATCAACTCAGCTCATCATGCCGATCATTAAGGTATACATTTTATAGGGTCTCCGACGTTTCTTTCTTAATATTACAAACTTCGTGGCAAACTTAATATACCCTCTTCAGGGTATAAAAACAACAAAACCAAAACACATAACATATGAATATAAGTTAATAGCGGACGTGACAACTGTAATTTGCGTCTGGTTGAATTTAGAGAAATGTTTATATTGAAGCAAACATATAGACAAGCAAGTGCTGAACAGTGCTGGGGAATTCCGTGCTTCGTCACAGATGCACAACAATGAAAGCAGCTTCATAGCAGGGGGTGAAGGAACTGGAAATGAAATGCTCCTAAAAATGCACACATTTGGCATGAACGCGAAAACTGACGCAAAATTAGTTGGGCTAATTAAATGAAATACAAATCGACGACGCGGTAAAATATTTGGCTTGGTCTGCCCAGAATATTTGAAATATAATTGTTGGACAAAACGCCGATGAGATCATTAATGGAAAGGTAAAGTGCCAACGGTTTGAAGAGACGGCCATATGAAAAAGCATTTATGTCAATTTGCTGAGAAAATAGCCAAGTGAAGATGAGCGAATAGCTGCGAGGATATGCGTCATAAAATAAAGCAATAAATGTGCTAAGGATAAACTGTCAAGGTAGGCAGGTAGGCCAAGCTCCGCTTGTAAACTAACGAAAACTTTAATCAGAGTCACCGCACCCTTTGCTGCACTTAAAATATGCTACAAATTGTTGTTGTAGATACTTAAAACGCTGAGCAAGAAACGCGCATAGCGTAACTTCGGCACGCGAGGCAGACACGGAGTGGTGCGCAACAAAACAAACGAAATAGGAGAAAAATTCAAATTCAGAAAAGCAAAACAAACTACGTAAGAAACAAACTTCCCGTGGAGAATTAAAAGCTTTTGCAGACCAGAGAGCGAGAGAGTGAAATAATACAAAATTGAAATGGTAATAATTGGCAGCAGACCTCAGCAAAAACAAATATGACAACTACATCGCAAAATATAGAAGAAATCGAACTTTGTGAATAGTTGCTCTTGGAGCACAAGCGCAGAGCTTTTTAGCCAACAGCTGTACTAAACGTGTTTGGTGTTATTGCTATCAGCTGATCGTTTGGAGCGATTCAAGAGCGTATATTAGTATTTATATGTTCAATGAGAAAGAGAGGTGAATTGGTAGCTCACGCTCCAGACCTCTTGTTACATTTCAACCTTCACGCAGCTTCAGCGACTCACAACACAGCGCAAATCAGCGTGCTTTGAATTCACCACAACTGGCTTATTGACTGGACTTTCTTGACTCGGTTTAGATTCAACGCAGATTTGTAAGTGGTGTCTTGCCCGCGGACGCACCGTTACTTCATTAGTTAATTTTGATAGCTGTTGGCGAGCGGTTGCGCGCGCTTCACACAAGCAACAACAAGATCAAAAACAAACCGACTTAGCTTATTATTAGCAATAAACGCTGTAGACCCCGCAATAAACAAGTACTAACAGTGGGTCACAACTGAGCAAAAATAATAACCGAAAAAACGCTAAGAAAATTTAGACAACTAAGTTTTTGATAACTAACAGCAGACGCTTGTGGTCGCGCAGTCGAAAAGGTGAACCAAATTTGTCGATTGCGCAACAAAAAATAATTTGTTATAATTGGAAAAACACTGGAAAATATTGCAGCTGTCTTCAAAAACACAGTGTTTATAAAAAAGTGAGTGTCAGTGATTTTCGTAAAAAATAACGAAAGCAACAGTGAAGCTGAAAATTAGTGATATAACTAGACGTTGAAACCCATAGTGAACTAAAGAGAATTTTGCAACCAAAACCGTTACCATTTAGACACACAAAGTAACCACAGTAACAAAATTAGACTGCAAGAGTGTGCCACAGTGGACGTGAGTTAACAAATTTGTGACACAACAAAACCAAAAAACCAAGTTTTAGGCTGCAATATTTTCTTCGAGCAATTTCTCAAAATATTTGAAATTGGCTAAGTGCAAAGTGCGCTAAATACAAAATTTACCAATATAATTGGCGGAAACTGAAAATCAGAAGTACACTCAATCATTTTTGCAAAATATAGCAAAAGTTCTGTGAGCTTACATACATTTATTAAACAGCTCAAAACTACAAACACACAAAGTAGGTTTTACAAAATTAGCCATATATTCATATTATACTCGTACCTTTTTGCAAATAGGTATATAAAAAACTAAAACACAACCGAATAATAAATTCATTAATACAGATATTCATATGTATGCTACATATATATTATGTTTATTCGGAAAAAATAATGTATTATTATATATACGAGTTGAAAATTAAAATATGGGATAGACTTAAAAGAAAAAAAATTTGGGGTGCACCGACACTATAATAACCATCACAGGTGCAATTCTTATAGCAACTATATGTATAAATAAATCTGAAAATGTAACCGGCCAACGGTTTGCATCCAACGGAAAACATTTTGCTAGTTCTTTTTAGCTACTTTATTTGATATAAAAAATATTCAAGTCGAATTAAGGCCCCTTAAAGGGAGGAAGAAACATCTTTTATAAAAATCGTTATCTTGATTTCGATCGACCAGTTTGTATGGCAGCCATATGCTATAGCGGTCTAATATTCTATTTCAAAATTGGTATTTTTATTATGCTTTACAAATTTGTTCGTAAAACTTATCTAAATTTAATTGTCTTAGCTATACAAGCAAACAATTTTTAAACTTTAATTATATATACATATTAAACATTCTTAAAAAAGAATAATACAATTGTTTTGGAATGTATATTAATGGATCAGTATTTAAAAAGATACGGTTAAAAAATATTGATTGAAAAATATATATATTTTTTGTTGTTTCTGCAATAAGACTGAAATTCGTAATAAAGAAACAAACCATTTCTTTAATTCTAAGCATTCTAATTGTTTTAAATAATTAAGAACATTTGACTTTATGGTAACCCGAAAAAGTTAAGCTAATAGTTCTTATATTTTCTATAAACATTTTCTCGCCTTGAAAAATTTGTTGTTAATTTGTCACACACAAATACAAACCTGGACGTACGCAATAGGGGATTTTTACAGGGATTACAACTGGTTTTTGAAACTTAAAAAATATGGACATAAACTCTCTTATTTTGCATATATCAAAAATGATCTAGTTTTATGTTACTTTAAAAGAATATGGTTTGGGCTTTGCTAATATTTATAAATTATAATAGTGTACAAATATTACACAAATTTCTTATCCAAATAAGTATACATATGTGGTTTACCGCTTACAACAGTATACGTTATTAATGCAAGCTCTTCAATAAATTTTTCATTAACATGCTTTTCTTAAAAAATATTTGAATTTAGAATATATTATTTAATACAATGATTAACGAAAATGTAATCCACATTTTTTGTTCAAAATAGTATCAGCCCTCCTTTCCATTTAATTTTTTTATCCGCACCTCTTTTCAAATTAAAGTCAGTGTGAGTGAGATTCGCGAGCCAAACAAATTTTTCCTCGCTATTGAAGTAAATCCGAATTGTTTTTACATTTACTTTTTATTTCAATCAAAGAGTTCGATTGAATTTGATATAAAACAAATCAACACTACCAAGTGCTATGGTGTCACCTAAAAACCCAGTAATCCACTGTATGTGCTTTGCATTTGATTAAGACAGAAAACGAAGACGAAACTAACAAAAAAAACACTGAAAAGTTAAGAAGGCAATGCAAACACTAATCGCAACTGTATTACAACTATACTATCGCTTTTGAGCTTTTGCTTTTATGAAAAAGTAATTAAATGTAAAATATGTTGGATAAATATATGTTTTAGTGTTTAATTTGTTTTTCATGCCTTTAACACACACACACTTTTATATTTCACTTTTTATTTCCTACGCGCGCTTGACACACTGTCATGAGCGGACTTATGCCAGAGTGGGCAGTGTGCGGCGATCAGCGTGGCGACCTTGACTTTACGCGAAAAAAGCGAAGAAATAACAACAATAAACAAGTTTATTGATTTATGCTTGTTAATTAAAAATTCTTAAACGATGAACAAAAGGCTTGAATTTGCGCTATTTTTACCGAGCACTTCAATCAAATACTTACACTTTTTATGTTCACACATGTCTGCGGACATATATACATATGTATCTACCTATTTACAGTACTTCACACAAGCGACCGCAAGCAGTGATTGTCAGTTATAAAAAGCAAAGCAATGTGGTAGCGAGTAAATAAAAATAAGTAAATAAAATATTAGCAATAAATTAGCAACACTCACAACTGCTGTGGCCAAGCCAGAGGCCGCGACGCGTTTGATTTGATTTCATGAGTGAGTGTATTTGAAGCTATTGAATGAGCAAATATCATCGCAATTTAGCTTTGCTTTGGCAGTGAAGCTGCTCCGCGTTTGGTGCTTAAGTCTTTAGCTTTTGTATGCATACCTGACATACGTATACCCATACTTTACACATTGAACTAGCACAACACTTCGTGTAATTAACGTGCGCTCATGCACACAATTAGTCGCTAATTCGCATTGAACGTGTAATCTGGCGTCCGTAGAATTTATATGGAAATCAAATGGAAGATCGGCATGTGTACGCCCACTTTAAATTACGACCCCTGATGGCACAGTTAGAGACAAGTTTTTCTAGTGGAGCTTCGTTTATTATGCTGGTATATGTACCTTAATTGATGGCTATGAGAGTAGTGGAACAATGTCTTGTATGTGAGATTGGTAAAATATATTAATTAATTTTCTTTGACAAATATATTCGAATGAATATTCAAATTTTAAAATTCGATTCAAAAAAACCACAAATATTATAAAAAAAAATTTGTATAAACCCAGACAGATAGAACTTTAAGTAAACACTAGAGCAACGAAAAATCACATATTAAAACGAGTTCACACTGTTAGTCGGATAGAAATAATTTTTGGATAATTTTATGCAACTTGGAGTTTTAAAACAAAAAGAATAACTTATTCAAAATATAATAACTTCAAAAATATATATACAAGTAGTTGAAGAAAAATGAAACATGTGTACTGAATTTCAAGCTAAAAACCTGTAACTATTTTCTTCTTTAATAAATTGTTTTCCAAACTTTTTTATCACGTATGAGATATATTATCTTAATATTTTAACCCAAGATTCCGTCTGTAGATTTAATTCAACTCTTCACAATATGCTTCAGGTTTCGTATACTTAATTTTTTCTTTTGGAAACTCAAAACCTAACGCAAATATTACTCAAAACTCGAATATAAAAAATGAGTTGCATTTTAACAACCACCTTACGATTTTAACATTAATTCGCACGCATTGAAACACTAAAATCGAAATACCATAAAAGATTCAGCATGTTAATGCCAACGACTTACATCGTCACAAAAAATTAAATTGGTTAAAAAACATGCCAATGGCCAAGTCCGACATTAAAGAACTGCCACAGCGAACGCAAATTAGTAATGAAAATGCGAAACGAACGGAAACAAGTAGGAAAGGGGAACTTCTACACATTTTTTTGCATATTTTTTATGCACACAAAACTAGTACTCAAAATCTGAAAATATTTAAGATTAATTTTGAAAATAAAAAATCAGAAAATTTCAAGTTACTTAAGTTAAATAAGTAGTTTTATGAGTACATAAACATAAGGTTAAATTTAAATTGAAACTTAATTCTCAATCAGAACAAACCTTAAACAATGGAAGTGACACTATGTAGTGGAATGTATTACAAGCAGGGCCAATCTCCAAAAAATTTATTCTGCTCTCTTCTAACACATCCATTATATATTTATTTTAAATCTCTCATTTACTTCGTATTTTCCTATAATATTCTTTGCAGTGACTAATTGAAAGATTATTCATTACAATGACAACACATTTTTGTTTACTTATGCAATGCAGTCAATTTCCAACAAAAAATTTAAACTTTGAATTAGAAACCAATTGGCAACATTTTTTATATGACACATATGTTTAAATCAATAAAATTAAAAATAGAATTACAAACGATTTACAGCATAAGTACCTACAGGCTGTGATTCATGTGGCCAAAAATATAAAAGGAAAATTTTATCCGTTTTTTTTTTAATTTGCACATATATACATTCAATTACATATGTAAATTCTAGCATTAGAAATTTACATACATTTCTTGTCAGAATCTATTTAGCAAAATAAACAAATTTGAATGCCAATTAACATAACCCCGCTCGGAGATTGACTTCTCGGTGCTCTAGCTGACTCAAACACTCTACGAGTAACAGCCAAACGAAACCAAAATTTGACGCAAGTCACGTTTGTCCACGCCAGCATTTGTGAGCGTTTAGTTTCATTTTATCAAGCATTTTAATTTTCCACATTAAAATCATTAGCAAAAGGTAAGCGAAGCCGTCGCCGTCGACGGCAGCCATTAATGAATAACAGGAATGATATACGCACGGTAATGTCAAGCCGCCGCCGCTATAGACAACAAAAACATCAAACAGTTGTAAACCATGACAACAACGTGTGAATTCCCAGATTAATCTACATATGAATCTACCTGCTGCGAAACGCCAATCAGCACGGCAGACTGTAGTGTGTGTGTAGCATGCAGAAGACCGTAAAACATCGAGAGCACGCACAAAGACAGATAAAAAGTAGAAGAAATCAAACGAATGTAACAAATTTGAAAAAGCCCAGAGCCGTAACATTCCATGTTGTCCATTATTTGGGGTCTTTGGCCCCATGCACAACAATATCATCCAGTATCTGAGCGTAGAAATTGTTTAACTATCAAATACTTTTGTTTTTAGTTGGCTTTCTAATTTACATTTTGTCGGAACATTCGTGCTGCTATATAACTAGACTTGATTCTTCTGATGATGTTTAAATAAAGCAAATAAGCGTATACTCCTTTCGATGTTCGCGTATTAGTTCAGCCAATTTCATACACGTCATGTCCAATAAGGGCCGCCCGCAGTTTGCTTTGCCAGGGAAAAATGTAACCAAGAGAAATTCAAATTCATGTCTTTCACCATCAGAACATTTGCAGACATAAATGTTTAAAAATTTTACAGAATTCATAAATTTCACGATAATATGTATTGCAAAATATACCGAACGGTATTCAAAT